CATAGCCCCTGTCCTGAAACTAGCCAAGCTCCTCCACTCCAAGGGCTTCTTCATCACCTTCGTCAACACCGAATTCAACCACAGCCGGCTCGTCCGCGCCCGTGGGCCCGATTCCGTATCGGGCCTCCCGGGCTTCCAGTTCCGAGCCATACCCGACGGCCTGCCGCCCTCGGGTAAGGACGCCACCCAGGACATACCCCAGCTTTGCGACTCCCTCACCAAAAACGGGCTCCCCCCGTTTTTGGACCTCATTCATTCCCTCAACGACTCCACCGACTGCCCGCCCGTCACCTGCATAATCTCCGACGGGGTCATGAGCTTCACGCTTGATGCCGCTGAAAAGCTTAACATTCCGGAGCTCGTTTTCTTCACCACAAGCGCTTGTGGCTTCATGGCTTATTGCCACTATGCTCAACTCAAGGCCAGGGGGTTGTTCCCACTCAAAGGTATTTAATGAGTTTAAGTTAGGAGAGATGATGTTACGGTCTCGTTACATCATTCAGTTAAGGTTTGTAGCCGTTAGATCAATTATCTCCGACGATTACATGATGATCTAACGATTACAAACCCAGACGGAATGGTTCCATAACCAGACCGTAGCATTTCCCTTGAATATATATCTATGACGATTCTAACCGTAGATATTGAAATATGGGCGGAAATTATTTTTCAAATGAAATAATTGCATATTCCTACAACTATAAATCGTTGGAATCATCGAATATCAACTACAATTCTAAAAAAGAATATTTAATTCCGATTGAGTATTTTAGTATTAATTAAAATTGAAATATCTGGTGGAGTTTTTCAACATAATTGATATATCATTAGAATATTGGTGTGATTGTTGGGAGACTCACCCACCATTGTCAGGTGTGTGACCTGAGTCGACCAACGGATTAGTCGGAGTATAGTTTCTGATACCGTGGCTGGCTACCAAAAAAAAATATTGGTTTGATTTTTTATTGGTATATTTAACCATTAATTGGATTCTTCATTAGAATATAGTAATTCTTTTTGTAGTCTAAATGAAAAATTATGATTAATTAACTATTAGTCAGCCTAACAACAAAATTATCACATTACCATTAGTTAATTCATTATTTTCTTTTTCCTTTTGGAATTAATTTAAATTTTCTAATCCACTTTTCTAGGGAAAAATAAAAATATTGTGTTTTGTTTCTATATATAAATTACAAAATATGTACAAGTTGACAAGTTGTAGCTAACCAACTTTTACAGTTTTAATTAATAGTTTCATATAGCATGTTTAGTTACATATATGGGATTTCGGATTGTTTGGTGTAGATGAGAGCCAAATCAGCAACGGGTACCTTGAGACTGAACTGGAGTGGGTCCCAGGGATGAAAGGCATAAGGCTGAGGGACTTTCCCAGCTTCATACGCACCACGGACCCCGACGACATCATGGTCAACTACAACATCCTCCAGACAAAGAACGCGTCGCGGGCCCGGGCCGTAATCCTCAACACATTCGAAGACCTCGAGAGGCCCGTCCTCGACGCCCTCCGCCAGAGATTCGGCCGCGTCCTGACCGTGGGCCCTCTCCAGCTCCTCGAGAGCCGGCTCGTCGAGACGAGCCCCGAGTCCCTGTCCATCGGCTCGAGCCTCTGGAAGGAGGACGACGCTTGCGTGTCGTGGCTCGACCGGCGTGCTCCGAACTCGGTCTTGTACGTCAATTTCGGGAGCATCACCGTCCTGTCGCCCGAGCAGCTGCTCGAGTTCGCGTGGGGCCTTGCGAATAGCAACCACTACTTCTTGTGGGTGATTCGGCCCGATCTGGTGAGCGGGGACAGAGCCGTCCTTCCCGAGGAGTACTCGGAGGAGGTTTCGGGCCGGGCCATGATGGTGGGATGGTGCTCCCAAGAGCACGTATTGGCCCATCCGGCGGTTGGAGGTTTTTTGACCCACTCGGGATGGAACTCGACGATCGAGGGAGTGTCGGAGGGCGTGCCGATGATCAGCTGGCCGTTTTTCGCGGAGCAGCAGACGAATTGTCGGTACGTGTGCCGGGATTGGGGGATGGGCGTGGAGATTGAGGGAGAGGTGAGGAGAGAGAAAGTGGCGGAGCTCGTGAAGTTGTTGATGGAAGGGGAGAAGGGGAAGGAGATGCGGAAGAAGGCGGCCGAGTGGAAGGAGAAGGCCCGCTCGGCCGCGTGGCCAGGTGGATCATCGTACGAAAATCTAGAACTGCTGATCGATGACGTTCTTCTGAAGAATTAGCGGAAGGTGTAATTGATTGTAAGGGTTTTCGTGTTTGAAGTCTTGTTGTTGTGTTTGTTGCCGTACACGGTTCGTGTTCGATTGTGTGTTGATCAGACGAATGTGGAATAAACAATGTAAAAGTTTGATCTTTTTAATTTATTTAGGATCCCTAGGAAAATTGGATTGATTGATTTGTGTATGCACTTTGTGGTATCAAGTATGAATGCTTCTTGCATATTGAATTTAGATATATGTTGTGGAAAATATATAATTTGTGTCATTTGTTCAATTTCAATATATACATCTATCTATATATATATTTATTCTTCTTTCTCATTTTGGAAGCTTTTGTGTTGACAATTCAGTGAATATATATATATAGGCCATGCATGTCACTTGTAGTTGTGGGGACCTTTTATAGATCACATGATGTTAAAAAAATAAAAAAAATGTGGCACCTAATTAGTGGGGTTGAATGAAGTGTTGTTTTAATAAGAATTTCTAACCAACTGAACCACGACTTAATCAGTAATCATGTTAATGAATAGGAAATAATTGACATTGCGTCCATGTAATAATGTGACAGCCATTTATTATAATACAGAGAAGTTTATAGGGTGGTTTATAAATAAATAAGGAGAATACTATCATCCCGTTACGAGATGGTTCCGTTATGCATTTTAGCCGTAAATATACACATAATATGATAATATGTAGATAATCCAACGTTTATAAAATACAACGGAACCATCCCATAACGGGATGGTAGTATTCTCCTATAAATATATTTAATTTTAAAATATTTCAAATGTTATATGTGTATGGTCATATCAAGTAATTTATTGGCTAGAACTAATCACATGATTGAGAATCATACAACATACAGCATTTCGGTAACAAAAACTCTAATAACATGAAACAATAAAAGTTGGTATAATTTGACGGGAATTTTTTCATTGATTCATAGAAATATAGTGGTAGAAATTGATATCTATTTTAATATAATGTTATGTGACATAAAAAAACAACAATTCATTGTATACGCTGTAATATATATAATTAAAAAAAAAACAAAATGAATCCTGAACACGAGAGACCGCTGTAGAAACTGTCCCTCAAGAAAAATAGCGACCCCCAACTGCTCACCCGTGCCAATCACCAAACACAATTTATCAGTAAACTCATTATATACGGTGTAATATATATAATAAAAAAACAACAATTCATTTTGTTATGTCAAAAATGAATAAAATATTAGAGCCGACAATAATGACCGTTTGAAGAAATCAACTAACATTTAAAACAAAAATATCAAAGCAACAACAAAATATAATACTGCATGAATTTAGGTTGGTAGAGAGGCTTTAAGACTTGGAAACTCTCAGCTACTCTTCAAACCCATCTTCCAATTTTGTCCAGGTAAATTGCACCAAATCCCACTATGTTTAACAAAATGTGTGCGTTTTCCCACTGTGTTTTAAAAACTGCACCAGATCCCTTTATGTTTAAGTAATTGCTGCACGGATCCCTCATTCCGTCCAAGTTAACCGCGCGTGTGTGACACCTTCTCTGGCTGCGAGATTTATTCAATTTCTTTATTTTCAGAAATACTTATTTACCATTATACCCTCCTGAATTGTATTGCAAAAGCCCATGTTTTAAATACCGGTTCGTACCGGCCAGTATTACCGGTAATACCGGATACCAGTGGTCCGACCGGTACATTTACACTCAAAATACCGTTTTGGCCAAAATACCGGTTTCGTACCAGAAAATACCGGTTTTACCGGCAAATACCGGCCAAAATACCGGTCAAAATACCGGTTTATGCCATTTTTTTTAAACAAAAATATTTTTAATAGATTTTTATTATTTTATTTATATAAATTGAAATTTCTACACTTAACTTTAATATGTTTATATTGTTTTTAGATGTTAATTTATTTTAATATTAATTAAAGTTAGTTTTGTATATTATTTATATAATAATAACAAATTAATTTAATATTTATTAAAACCGGTAAAATAGTGTAATACCGGTCGTACCGGTAATACCGCATACCGGTCGCTACACCGGTATGACGACCGGTACGGTTTTTAAAACATTGGCAAAAGCTAAAAATTTATAGTGCAAGAATAGGGACTCGAACCCGGATTGCAAAGGGAGGGTGCGCGCCACCAAAGCCACTAGGCTACATGAATGTAGTGTAAACTATTGAACAAACATATATTTATAATATAAAACGAAAATAAATTAAATAAAATAAAAATAAATTAAATAAAATAAAAATAAAGTAAATAAAATAAAAATAAAGTAAATAAAATTAATAAAAATCTAATAGGTAAATTAATATAAATTAAATAACTAATAATAATAATAACTTGAAATAAATTAAATTAACATAAAAATAATGAAACAATTAAATTAAAATAAAGTAAGATAAAATTTAATATAGTGGCATGAATTAAAATTAAATCATTATTAATTATTAATTAATATTTAATTAAATAAATTTTGAAATGAAAAAGAATGACAATAAAATTAAAAAAAATAAAATAAAAATAAAAATAAAAATATTACAGACAATAATGTATAAAAATTGTAAAGTGAAATAATATAATAAATCAAATAAGGTATTATAATATAATAAATTAAAGTAAATAAAAATCTTAAATTAATATAATAAAATAAAAAAAATATAATTTATCAAATATGTGTAATATGATTTACTCTTACATACAATATCAATGAGAACAATTGAAATGAATTATAATTTTTTAGTAAAAGATTTTAGTTTCTAATAAATAATTTAATTTCTAATTTTATTAGTAGAATTTATCTTAATTTTATTACATTATCTTAAGAAACAAAATAAATAAAGTTTGTTAACTAAGAAAATATATAATGAACAATGCAATAAAATAATATAGATTAATATAAATTAAATAAATAATAAAATATAAAAATAATCTAAATATAAATACAATAAATATTTTTATTTTAACTTTAATTTTTATATTTATTTATAATTTATTTTAATTATTGTTGTTTTTGTTTAATATAATAAGTTATTTTTATTTTTGTTTCACTTAATTTATATAATTTGGTTCAGTATATTTTAATTTATCATATGTTTATATTTTTATAATTTAATTTATTATTACACTATCTTCTAAATTAAATTTCATTTATTCATGTGTAATGCAAATATATATTAAACTTTAATACATCTAACACTCAAGCTAGAGTGGTGCAATGGTTGCTTGCATTGCCTTGCTTGAACATGGTCTGAGTTTCAAAACCTTGAGACAACGTTTTTTTTTTTTAATTCAATTTCTCGCGATATATTCAATATATCGTGAGAAATTCAATTTATCATAAATATATATATAATTTTCGAAGGATATAACGGAGTTTTTGTAAAAAAATTAACGTCGTTAACAAGAAGTTAAAAAAAAGGAGCGTTTGCATTGGTTGCTTAAACATAAGAGAGTCTGGTGCAGTTTTTAAAACACAGTAGGAAAACGTGCACATTTCGTTAACACAGGGGGAGTTTGGTGCAATTTACCCTTTTGTCCAATAATTTCAATTCATGCTATTCTCTTACACTTTCTTTCATAAGCACTTCATTAATTAATACAAATCATAATATGAACTATCCAATCAGCAAAATAGTATTGAGTTCTGACTCAATATTAATATTTTGATACACTTCGGGAACATTCGATGCCGCCTCTAGAGGGGACGCTGCAATCAACCCTGAAGACTTTTGATTTCACATACACATACACACTTGTGGTGTGTGAAATTAAGGACTCTTAAAGGCTGACTCGAGTGTGTATAAAATCAAGGGCTCTTAGGGGCCGACTGCAGTGCTCCTAGGGGCAACAACGAATTTCCGTACAATTTGATGTGCACCAAATAAATCGGTCATCATTATTTTTAGTTGAATCGTCTTGCCATGAATCACTAACCTGATCAATCTTCAAAATGGTGTTGGGATTCGAGATATACGCTTGATATATACTCCAACAGTCAAAACAACATTCGTATTCGATTCAGTCTCATTTGTACAATATTACTTCATTTTTATTTCCCTCACTCACATTTTCTAATACAATTCTTTAATAAAAAAATCAATCATTACAAAAATTTTTCTTATGAAATTTATTATCCATCAATTCATATGTTTTAAAACTATAAATTATTATTTTTATATGCATATATCAAATAATAATTAACTTTTTTTTTTTAATTGCAAAAAGTAGAATGGAGTAGAGTCATATGAGATATCCAATTGTACTTGTATATTTGTTTAATTTCATTATCTCATCTATGAATAAACAAATATTATGTAAATATATACATAAAAGTATGTTCAAGTGAGAATGAAACATAATGATAGAAATAAGAATAAATTTGTACCATTAGATATATCAAGTCAATGGTGTCAAATTTTAATAAGTGACAGTCAAACATGTAATGATATTATCGTAATATCATGGTCAAATATATCCATTTGTCCTCTAACTAACGACAATCCAGTGATTTTACATAATATCCACTTACCCACCATTTTGTGGGTCCCACCTTAACCCACCTATCATCTCTCACATAATCTCTCTCTCCATGTCTCTCACACACACACACACACAAAATCAGATTATCATCTCGCGCGCGCACATACACATAATGCAAACATCGATGCCATAGCCTGCTGGCGGAATTTTCTTTACATTGACCGCCTCTGTCGCCACCCTTACCCTCATCGTTTCCGGCGAGCGGGATGAATGGCGTCGTCGTCCAACAGATATATATCGCTGCATCTTTTCCTTGAGAGTGAGACTGTGAGGAGAGTGGTGGGAGCACTATTCAAGATATACACATATACCCCTACCCACTACAGATAGTTTCTTTGAGCTCCTGAGTTTTTTCTCTCACCGCACACTCAGTAGACACATGGGCTTCCTTATTCATTGTCTGATCCTGTGGTCCACCTGGACATAAAGGAATAACG